ACATAGGAAAATTATGTCAGATGTCACTCCTTTTTAAAGTCTAAAATGAGAGAAGGGGAAATAATTGGAAAATACTTTAAACCACCATGTATAGAATCTAAAATCCATTTCAGACTATAATAGTAATAGTTAAGAAGTGGTAGATCTTCATTAATGGAGAAAGAGTAAGTGGTAAAGGAGGTAATTCACTGTGGATTGTAAAGGATGAGTAACTTTTAGGTAAATAAGAGAGAAGACCATAGTTGGCTGAGAATCATTGTTCAGGTGAGAGAATGAGAACACTGCCTCCATGGCAAATGGTCAATTCAGATGTTATGGTTGCAGAAAAGTTTACTTGTGAAGAGTCAAGAAGAACCCAACAGGTATTACTGTCTATCTACAGGATAAGATCATTGTTTAAGACAGTTTATTAAACAACTAATATGAATTATCACCAGAAAATATAAATTCCTAACATTATCTTTCTATGTTCCATTATTACAAATACATATGCTTTGTGATTGAGTACAAATTTCATTGTAAATCTTATGCAAATTCCAACAAATTTGTATTTGTTGGAAGTAGAAGTTTTTCATTGTTGTTTTGAGAGACTTTCATTCAGTTTCAAAGCTAAACAAATTAGTAATGCTGAGCAGGAATATACTTTAATTCTGAGCTCCCAAAATCTACTGATTTAATTCATTACTTAGATGTATCAAGTTAATTACCTTCAATTATTACTGAAGACACTCATAAAAATCATAATATATTTTTTTGGCAATCATAGTTTTGAGACATTTTTTGAAAGTGGCACCCTTAGTTGAAATTCTGTATGTAATGTTCACATTAAACTTTCAAGTTGTAATTCTTGAAAGATCTAAGGCATTTATAATTATCCAGCAAAGGCTTTAGCCAGTAAAATTTCATTACTGTATTTTCCAGCACCAATATAGATATATGCTCAACAAAAAGTAACCCTGTGCATTGCAATTATCAAGGAAGTATATTAGAATAATTAAATGCAAATCTATATGAAAATATACAGCGATCTGGGCAGGGGTTGTGGCTCAGTGGTAGAGTGCTTGCCTGCCATGTGTGAGGCTCTGGGTTCCATACTCAGCACCACATAAAAATAATAAGATATATTGTGTCCATCTACAACTAAAAAAGTATCTAAAAAATATACAGTGATCTGAGGATGAGCAGGAATGCTTTCTGATCACTTTGTTCTCCCCATTTATATAGCATATCAAGCTGGAAAACTAAATGAATGAAAAATATTATGCATTTCTTTTGATCCTTTTCATAGAACCGAGTTAGAGTAGCTCATTAAATAATTGTTTCAATAACTTGAATTTCATTTATACACCTTCTGAAAGGCCATGGTTAGGAAAAGCAAAAGATGACTGTTTCTCCTTGTTTGTCATATACAATGTAGAATTGAGCAATAGTTTAGGCTTGACACCCCAATAGTTAGGTAATTTCATTTAATGATTGCATATTGAGGGAAAGAGTCCTCCAAGATACACTGATACAGTTGGAGGCTCTACTGGTATTAATTATCACATTTGTCTCATGGTTTATCAAAGTGGATGATTAGTGTAGTGTTAGCGGCGGGGGGGGGGGGGGGGGCTACTTGTGACAGGGGATCAGGGAAGTTGCTTATGAGCATAATCTTTGTGAACTGACTTTTTGGAATGAGTCTTGGCCTCCAAGATTGTCTGACTTGTGTGGCATGTAGAAGAAATGATAAGGACTAAAATAAGGTCCTCATTCATGGCTATTATAAAATGAAGACTCAATCATGCTGAAGGATGGGGTATAGACCTGCAAGTAGCAGAGTTGTGTAAGTTCTAGCATAACAACACTAATGAAATTATATATTTTGAATTTCTCATAAAAATTGTCTTTATTTCATAGGTAGCAGAGAGGCATTGAAGTTTAGAGGAAGTGGTTAGAGTCAACCTCTTCTGTTGTTTATTTAAAATGCTTTTTTTTTTTTTGTGGAAGTGTAAAATATTTGAGAAATTTGTAATAAGGGTCAAATGAAGTATAGTAACTTTGGAAATGTGAGAGAATGAATGGGGAATTTCTTTTCATAAGCAATGGAGATCCACTTGGGGAATAATTGAGAATGTGGGAAAACTATGACAAGGTTTCTAACATGAGTGACAGGGTGGTAGCGCTATTCCTACTGGTGTTCTTCCTGAGTGCCTTGTGGCAGACCTACCTAACAGTAGAGTGGAAGGCTGTTCACAACGTTAATGTTGGGGCTGGTTGTGGATTTTTTTATTTGCTCAATGTATAGGAAGACCCTTGTTTCCCTTTTCCTGTTTTTCAATTAGGATATTGGAAATGCTGGTGTTTTTAGTAGAAAGATTGTTAAGTAATGAGATAAAAATCATTTCTATATTCACCAGATTTGCCTAGTAGAATTAAAATGGAGGCTTTTTCTAAAACATCCTAAGAGGATAAAAAACTTTTCATATTGTGACAGCTATAGACAATCATTTCAATCTGTATCCTAGCAGTGACAGAAAACATGAATCAAATATCTTTTATGTGCTTATCAAAGTTAAAAAAAATGGTCATTAAAAGGATAAAAGAGTCAGTTGCTGTGGTGCATGCCTGTAATCCCAGCAGCTCAGAAGACTGAAACAGGAGGATCACAAGTTCAAAGTCAGCCTCAGCAACTTATGGAGGTGCTAAGCAACTCAGTGAGACCCTGTCTTTAAATAAAATACAAAATAGGGCTGGGGATGTGGCTCAGTGGTTGAGGGCCCTGAGTTCAATTCCAGGTAACAAAAAAAAAAAAAAAAAAAAAAAAGAGAAAGAATAGAAAAGAAAAGGACAAAAGATAGGACAATGAGGTCTGTTCATGAAAAGGGTTTGTTAAGAGGAAAGCTGAATTTTCAGCAAAGGGACAGGGGCCTCATGTTTCCCTTCTCCCTTTTTCTAACTTTTCTCTTTCCATTTTTGTGGAGATATATTTATGTACACCTATAAACTAACACAAATCATTTTATTTGGAAATAAGTATTGTATATAAGGCACTTCCCAGTGTTGATATATATCAAATACTATATATATCATGGTGATTTTCTAATTTTGCACTTGACCAAAGACGAAGTTAGAGCCTAAGGACAGGTTGTGCATGAAGCTTCAATGGTCATGTTGACAAGGAGCTTAGAGTTCACTGATAAAGCCAAATGCATCCAAAGAAATTATCTGGAGGGGTTGGGGTGGGAAAACATTAGCAGGAAATAAAGAAGGAATTATCACAATGTTATCAAATACTTACTATACATGTGTAAAATTGAAATTGTGTTCTGCATTTAACTTGTTTCTAATCTGTTTACTGTAACATAGCTTCCACCAGGACAGGGATTTGGGGTTCTTTATTCAGTGGCATGTTTTCTATAGAAAGTACTTAATGAATATTTGACTAATGGAATAAATATTAATTAAATTTCACATTTGCTTTGGTCATGACACTTGTTACAAAGGAAATAAGCAAATAATGATAATGAAAGTTACTAACCCTAGAAGTGTATCATTTAAACTGGTTAATGTGGATACACATTTCATATAATAGATATTTAATAGAAAAAAGTTATCATACTTATAAAGAATTGTTTTTAAGTTATACTTTACTTTTGTCTGCCTCCATGAGTATGAGGTGATCATATAAGGCTATATGAAAGTAAATAAATGAGAAAACAACTTAGCAGAATAGCAGAATTGACAGCAGTAATAGAGAGCTTGAATGAGTGTGTAGATGAATATTTATAGAGCTATTTCATTCCTCAAGAAGGGGATAAAATAGAGTGAAAGTTTTCTTACATTTTAGCCTGCCTTTTATCTTGGTACTTGCTGGAGTAGCAACTGCTTGTTTTGGAAGTTCAAATATTTATATATATATATATATATATATATATATATATATATATATATATAATAAAAGTTATTTTTTGAAAATGACCCCCATATATTTATTTTTTTCGCCATTCTGTACAAAGAACTTGAGTTTCCAACTATATATATTGATTACTTTGGGTTGAGAGGATTGGATTGTGGTAGAAGTTGATGTTCTAAATTATTTTGGAGATATTTAAAATATTCTGTGATAAGCAAACACAGTTTGAAAAAATAAAAATTATTAAATATGGGTACTTTTAAATTACCTTCTAATTTATGGCATTAAATTCAACATCTTTTCATAGTTGATGCAATGTGAAAAGAAGAGTTATATATGTTATTATTATATATGTTATATATAATATATATACACATATTATATATGAATATATCCCACATATTCACCTTCTCTCCCTCTTGTTCTCTCTTACATTTGCACACATTGCTAGTCAAATGTATATATTACTTTTTTAATATTGCTTTTTTAAGTATACTCATAAAATTTATAAGAGAATTTTTTAAATAAATAAGGCTATTTATGATAATTTGAGGGGATGCCAATTTTTAAATTTATTTTCTTTGGAGGGAATATTCTTTCTAACCTAGCATGGTTAACAATTTTTGTTTTCTCATATTTAAGTATGTTAACTTGATCAGTGAGGTAATAGCTCTGCTAATTTAAGAAACTAGCAATGCTTTCAGAATCTGACTAGCCTACTCTGAGTTGTATAACTAAAAACCATTTATTGAGCCATAAATAGAGAAAACATATATCATAATTGACTAAAGGAGTTTAATATGGTTTTCTATTTCTGGGAGTAATCAGAATTTGAATAAATCATAATAACAGAATTAACACTGGAACAAAATTAAACATGTCAATTTTTACTTTTTATTTTCTTTAAAACATTGTTCTTTGGTCTCTGAGTTTATTAATTATGTTTTCATATAATTCAACATTTTATATAAATAAGGTGGCGTATGTTTTATATTTTGAATAATGAGAGACATAGTTTGAAATGGTAACAACATATTTTTAAAAGATTTTTTTGTGCTTTCACAGTATTATTATCTCAGTGACCATTATTTTGTATTATTTTTAGGTTAAAGAGTGGCTCTGTTTAAACTGTCAGATGCAAAGGGCTCTAGGAGGCGAACTGGCTCCAATTCCATCATCACCCCAGCCCAAACAGAAGACTGCCCCTGTTGCTCCTACAACAGCGAGCAAATCAACCCCACTGCCACCGCAGAGTTCCCCAAAGAAGGATGCACCACTCAAACAGGATACAGCAAAGGCCCCTGAGTCGAAAAAGCCCCCACTAGTGAAACAACCAACCCTTCAGGGCTCCCCTGCAGCCCCAGCCAAGCAGCCGCCTGTGGAGGAGCCCTCCTCCAAGCCATCCCTTCCCAAAAACCCTTCTGTTCCTACAGCTGAGCAGGTCAAAGCCTCCACAGCTGAGGAGAAATCAAAGCAACCCAAGACCATAAAGCCACCTGCAGACATTCAGTCTTCAGCAGAAGGAACAGCCAGGAAACCTGATGCTCGGATCTCCCAAGTACAGGCTCAGGCTCCAGAGAGCACAGCCCCTCCAGTGAAAACAGACTCTGCCAAACCCTCTCAGAGTTTTCCACCAGCAGGAGAAAAAGTCACCCCATTTGATTCTAAAGTCATGCCTCGACCTGCATCAGATTCAAAAATAATTTCACATCCTGGGCCTAGTTCAGAAAGCAAAGATCAAAAACGAGTGGATCCAGCTCAAAAGAAGGAAGAGCCTAAGAGAGCACCAACCAAAACGACCCCTAAACCAGATGCCAAGCCTGTGCCAAAAGGGTCACCGGCACCCCCTGGCCCAAGACCTTCCACTGGCCAAACTGCTCCTGCATCTCCGCAGCCCCCCAAACCTCAGGAGCAGTCGAGACGCTTCAGTCTGAACCTGGGCAGTATTACTGATGCGCCACGATCACAGCCCACAACTCCTCAGGAAACTGTGACTGGGAAACTCTTTGGGTTTGGAGCATCCTTCTTCAGCCAGGCATCAAATTTAATTTCCACAGCTGGCCAGACTGGACCTCAGCCACAAGGAGGGCCCACAGCCCCAACAAAACAAGCCGCTCCCCCACCCCAGCCCCCAGCTTCTAAGGGGCCACCCAAACCTGCAGGCCAGGCACCACCTGCACCTGAAAAGGCCATATCTGTGAAAAAGGAAATGAAAGCTCCAGTAGCTGAAAAATTAGAGCCCAAAGCTGAACAGGCTCCAACAACCAGAAGAACAGAAACAGACAAGAAGCCCCCACCTGTTAAGGATAGCAAACCTTCAACAGCCGAGTCCCAAAAGTCTGTCCTTCCAGACAAGTTGGAGAAAACCACCAAACCCAAACCAGCCTGCCCTCTCTGCAAAACTGAACTCAACATAGGTTCTCAGGATCCTCCTAATTTCAACACTTGCACTGAATGCAAGAATCAAGTGTGTAATCTCTGTGGATTTAACCCGACACCCCACTTGACTGAGGTAAGCAATGTGTATATAAGATGTATGAATGCACAGTTTATTTTGAGATATTTTGGGGGCAAATTTATGAGCAAAAAATATGTTTCTAGTGGAGAAAACAAATCAGTATTGATACATTAGAAGTTTTAATTATTCCTTGCTTAATATACTACGATTCTCCAATTATTAGGACTTTTATGGGTTAATACACTTCAAGTAAGAAAATGGAATAGGTTGATATTAAAATAACAATGATCCCCATCCTTCATGAATCCAAAACCTGTATCTTAGGAGGACTATTGAGTTTTCATGTGTAAACTGCAAATAAGGGTTGTAATATATCATTCTCATTTCTCTAACCTTCTACTCCCTTTAATATATTAAAAAAAAAGTTGGTCGCAGAACCCACAATGATACGAAGTCTGTTATTTAAAAAAACTTAAAAATCTGGTGTAAATTAGTAATGTTACCAAGTAGAAAGTAGTGGCTCAATTATATCTAGGCTTTTTATGATTCTGTTTGAGATATTATCTGGCAGCACCTAGAATACTTTACTAAGAACTGTGGAAAGGGAAAAGATGGATGGATTTCAGTGACTAATGTGAAGATATGTTTTCTGGGATGTCAAGAATACTTTCTCTGCAATGTCTATGACCAAAAAACAGATGGTACATCTCTGTCTAATGTTGTATTTATAAAAGAAAGAGTCTATAGGCATTAATAGCACATTAAGGCTGTCAGAATATGTGATTTTTGGAATCTCAGGGGATAAATGATCATTCTGGTGTTAGTAAGTAACAGCAATATTTTAATAAGCATTTTGAGAGTGAATTTAAAATAATTATTCATTGCTTTTGTCAAGTCAAAAATACGGAAGGACCATTTTACTCCACTGTATTTGATCTTGTAACTCATTGGAATGGTAAGACCAAATAGACTAGCATCTTATAGGAAAAAAAAAAAGCTTTAAGTTGTCTTTTTTTTTTGGGGGGGGGTGTGCATTAAATAATTATTTTTGGAACAAACCATAGAAAATTTTTATTTTGTTATTTAAAAAACACATTAGTATTGTTTGACCTAGTTAACACCATATGAAAGCATTTTCACTGCAGGCTAAAACAGATTTTTCTCTTCAGCTATGATGAATAATGTTAACTAAGATCCATTTTAAAAGTAGATAAATTTTAGTTTCTGTTAGCATGTTATGATGTTATGAGTGGTAACAACTATAATTATTACATACAGCATTTGGGATTCAATATGAAAACAAAACAAAAATCAACATTAAATTTCTTTTATATTTTAGAAGAATAGCTTTTGGTTGTATGTTCATGATGAGGAAAATTTCATTTTTCATTTTTTCCCCAATACAACTGCATTTATTCTAAACGCTTAAAAAAGTGTACCCTTTAATGAGGAACTTTATGCTATCTATACAATGCAGTTAAGTAAAATAGTTCTAAATCAAACTGTACCACTGAAAAAAACTATATACATATTTTTAAATATTTGAACACTTTTAAAAAACGTGTGCCATGTAAGGGGAGGTCTATAACTTATAATTTACACATCATGCCTGTGCATGCATATGCATATGCACAAGGGCATGTTGGGATCATCGTGATGCTTAGAATTCTGTCAATGTTTGGAAGAATGAAATGAGAGCCCTCTAGCTAGAGAATCAATGAGTCTTCTAGGGAAATCTTTGATTTTCTGTGTGTTGGTAAATTATACACTGGAGGTGGTAATTTGGGTATGAGATTTTTTGAATGATACAGAAATTAATGAGGATGTGTGGAAAATCAAGTTTGAATAATTTCAAAATAAAAATTGTCTCAAGTGTTTAGACCATTTAGGTGAGCTCCTATTTTATATATGGTCAGTGGGATATATATATATATATATATATATATATATATATATATATATATATATATATAT